AAACCCGAAACCCTAAAACTCTAAACCCGAAACCTTGGGCGTAACTCTAAGCCCCCAACTCTAAGCCCCTAAGCCCCTAAACCGCAACCCGGAGTCTTAAAGCGACCTCCGTGCTAAACCCCAAAGTATGAGCCCCTGAACCCAAGCTCCTATGTAAACCTAGCAACCCTAAGATCCCTACTTGGAGGATCATGGGACTTAGTAAGTAAGGATAGGGTTCCTTAAAGAGCTCCCTACAGGGATCTATAGGGTTCCTTCCAATTAAAGTACTTATGACCTTACTTACTAAGTCCCATGAGCCTCACGAACCAGGTTATCCGAAACCCGAGTATCCAATTACTAGGATGCCCAGTAACCTAGGAATAGAAAGGCCTCCCTTTTTGGTATGGGTAACTTTACAAGGAACCTGGGACTACAAAAAAGGGATAAGGGTACTACTGGGCATCCCAGTGAAGGAGACCTTAAAGGAGCCCCAGGAACGAGGTTATCCGAAACCCTAAACCCTAAACCTTAAACCCTAAATCTTAAACCCTAAACCCTAAACCCTAATCACTGGGCAAAAGCGACCTCCGTGGGCTTCTTGGGCTTGAACTCCATTCCCTTCTTCAACTCGAGAGCCTCCAAGGCTCGTTCTTTTTTTTTGAGGGGGGGGTGCCTCCTTATTCCATCTGTTATCCACAGGTAGAAGGCCATTCGGGAAGGTTCGGGGTTTAGGGTTTTGGGCTCCGGGTTTTTTTCTGGGGTTCGGGGTTTAGGGTTTGGGGTTTAGAATTCAGGGTTTGGGGTTTAGGGTTCCACAGGTTAGGGCTTTAGGTTTAGAATCCAGCGCTGGTGGTTTTACGGTTTGGGGCTTAGGATGGTTAAGGGTTTAGGGTTTTGGTGCACGGGGTTAGGGTCTGGGATTTAGAGGTCCGGGGAGGTGTGTCTTTCCACACGACTTCAGGGGTGCTGATGATGGTTTAGGGTTTTAGCTTCAGGGTTTCCATGGGTTGTTCGACGACTCCATTTTCGGGTTGTATCATGGCCTCTGTTCTCGGAGCCTCGGCTGGGAGCACAGGTACGAGGTTTAACTTATATATATATATATATACCAAAACCGATTCAAATTTGTAAGGGCCATCCAATATGTAAGCCCTAAGATGCCCCTTTGAGCCCCCTACAATTCAATAAACCCTTTGAGTTCCTTTAAAACGTACACAAATCATAAGACCCTATGACACCGTGAATCTAGTCACAGGTCCTATCAAGCCATGGGCTAGATAAGCCAGGCTCCCTACTATGCTGTATTACGGTTTAGGGTTGAAGGGCCGACACTAAATTCCATAAGGCCCTGACAAATCGAAGGCGAACCCCCCTACTAACAATCCGAAATCCCTCTAGTCAAAAGCAGTGCAAGACACCATAAATCCATAAAGCGCGCTTGAAACACAAACGAAAGTCCCAAGAAAGAAACAAACCCTAACTCTCGAAATTCCCCTCGCAATTACCAGGCACCCTGAGACCCAAAGCCCGAAAAGCTAAATCCTGAAGCCAACCTTGAACTTACATAACCTACTCCTCACTGGCCCAAAACCCAAGGAAATAAAAGTTGAAACTTTCAGAAACGACTACCTTATAAGAACCCCAAAAGTTGAAAAGTTGAGTTTACAGCCAATAGGACTCTTAGTAGGCTCTTACTGCAACACCTAACATAGAATTTATAGGTACACTACAGGAAGTTTGGTCGTTAAAGCCAACACCCCTAAATGCCAAAACCCAGGAGGGACCCCTTAAGGCTCCGGCCCCTTTCGCAAGATCCAGGGCCACATTTCCTCGGCCTTCTATCTCCTTCACCTGCAGAGACGCAATACCGGAGATTTTGGTTTTTAGATGTGATTAGCATAGGTTGCTAGGGCAGGCCATAGTATAATCAGTCACATTCGGACTAGAACGGTGCTCCTCAAACGCGATATTCAGACCCCTGTATTCTCGCAGCTGGGCGTTATAGAGCATCTTCGCGTTAGAATGTGTGCGGTTGCAAGGCCCGTGTTTCAAGCATACGGTTGGAGATTGACGGTTGAGCTTTTTGGGAACAGGATACTTAAAGGCACCGGGGCTCAGAGAGTAGGGTTATAATTGGGGTTATAAGTGCCTTAATTATCCTAATTACAACCTGTCTTGTCACCTTACTTACAGAGTCCCTTGGCCTGTAAGTAGGTTGTGTTGAAACTGTGCTGATGAAAACGGATTTCGATTGAGGGTTTAAGGACTCTGGGGAACAGCGTTCGGGGTTCTTCTGGTACTTTGGGATTGAGGATTTTTTGGGCTGACGGGCACGTAGTTCTCAACAAGCATGCATGGGTTTGGCTGGACGGGTCATGGGTGGCAGCCACAGCTCCAACCACTTGTAACCATCATGAAGATAAAGCCCTAAACCCTAAACTCCAAAAGGTTGACCCCAAACCGAAAACCCTGAGCCATAGGAGGAGCTGGAGTCTTTATCTGTGGGAACTGATGGCGTAATATAGGGGCCTCAATAATTACCAATACTACTTTGGGGGCTCCTTGGTATAAGTATAGTATAGTGGGCCCCAGAACCCTTTTTTAATTAGAAAGGCTATATCATTCGGGCTTTTATGCTGGCTAAGGTTCAGTGGGAAGTCCCGAAAGGATCAATCTCACAACAGCCTTTCCCCTTCAGCATTGTCGCATGCGCAAGCGATCCAGGTGCACTGTACAGCCTGGTTGTCAGGAGCTGAAGCAATAGATTCGGAATGGCTTCTGAGAAGATTCGCCTTCGGCACCCTTCCATTTAGCAGAGACTTGACTATACCCCCTTAGAACCATAATAAATATTTGTGTGAATACTCTCTTGGGTTTTATATGCGCAAAACTCAATAAAATCATTCCTAAGGAGGTTATAGTTCAGAGGTTTGGGCTTTTGGCCGGGGGTTGGAGTTTCACAGTTGAACAACACCGGTGGCATACCTAAATTAGGATGCCCAGTAACCTAGGAATAAAAGGGCTCCCTTTTTGGTATTGGGTAACTTTATAAGGAACCAAGGACTACAAACAGAGAATAAGGGTATTACTGGGTTTTCGCAGCTACCGGACCTGCATTGGATGGTTCCTGTCGTGCCACCTGTAAGGGTTTTATACGGATCTTGTACTGTTTAACCAGTGGTTTTGGGGGTTCCCTTGGTGTCAATGGTTAGCTGTTTTGAGGTTGCGGTTTTAGTTCAGGGTGTCTACTGGTAGCGTCATGATTACCCTGCTACAATCTACTCCCAAAAGCTGTTCTAATTCTGAAGCCCCCTACTTTAGGCAAGTTCTTCATCCCTTGCTGACTCTTTCGGAGTCGCCCTCTACTCCGAGAGCATCGCAACATCTCCGAAGTTTAGGGTTTAGGGTGCTAAGGCGTCGGGAGCTCTTTTTGACAAATCAGCCCCTACTTACATTGTATTAAGGATTTGGGATTTGGGTTTAGGGCCTACTTGTATCGTACACCTGCTTGGAAGCGAAGTGCTCGGAGGCACAAGTTCTCAGCTGTCTGTGCGATCGACGCCACCGCGATCGGGCTTTGGTGAAGTAATAAAGTTTAAAGGGGTCTGATCAAATAGTAGCTATATCCCCTTGCATTTCCCATGTTTCGATAATCGAATGCTTCCAAGAGCCTTGTTCTAGCTATTCAGAGCTTCAAGTTTAGTGGGCTCTGGGCGGCTTTGTATTTCAGCTTTATCAGAGAAGGAGTAGTGTCACTGATCCTTCATGTCCCTACAGTTAACACTGCCTCCGGCCCGACAATACCCCGAAACGCAAACTTCTAAAGCTTATAGACATAACCTCACCAAAGCGCGACAGGCTGGACTGCAGCTGTACGCAGCCCAGGCTCGGGTGGCCAATTCTCGTCAGTCGTGCTACTAATCGTAGTGGCCTTTGTGTTGAAGGACCCTAAACTCTCAACCCTAAACCCTGGACCCTGAATCCCGAACCCTAAACCCTAAACATGTGGGTGGCTGTCAAAATTAGGGTCCCTTTTTGGGTCCTTATGATAATACGGCATCAAATATTTAGGGTACCCAAAAAAGGACCATAATTTTGACCACTACCCCTGTGTTGAAGAACGTTGGATCTACAATGCTGCCCCGGGGGGCCGGTGGTCTGGGGCTTGCTACTAATCCTGGGTTCAGGGTTTAGGGGTTTAGGGGTTTAGGGTTTAGGGGTTTAGGGTTTAGGGGTTTAGGGTTTAGGGGTTTAGGGTTTAGGGGTTTAGGGTTTAGGGTTTAGGGGTTTAGGGTTTAGGGGTTTAGGGGTTTAGGGTTTAGGGGTTTAGGGTTTAGGGGTTTATGGATGGGGTGTTGGTGCTTATGGGATTCATAGCTTAGCTCATACTCCCGTATTCTCACTACTCTCATAGGTACTATAGAGTTTCCACTGAGGCCATAAAAGGAATGTTCTGATATAAACTACAGCCTAAAGCTTCAGGGTTTGAATTATGTTTTGAGGCTTAGGATGGAATATGGCTGCAGCATTTTAGGCACAGCGCGTTTTGTCTAGATTTTAATTAGAAGCCACTTAAATCCTTTAAACCCTAACCCCTAAACCCTCTTGTAAAAGCTTCAGCGGTTTGATTTTGAAGGCCTTTCTGTAAGCAGCTGTAGGCGAAAAAAGCTCAGATGTTAGCACCCTGAACACTTATTCCCAACCTCAAACCTCAGGGCCCACAAGGTTCGCGGAGTTGTGGAAAGTAGAGGATCAGGGAAGTTAGTAAGAATGACAAGTAAGATGATCTAGCAATGTGTCCACGTTTAGGCTACCGATAGTTCCTATTATATACTCGGACATACTACAGTCCTCAACCCTAAATACCCAAGCCCTTATAAATCGATGCCAGAGAAAGCATGTGAGTACTCATGTAACTACGGAGGCGGAAAAGAATGGACTCAGTCTTCACCCATATACATCCTCACAACAGTTAAAGGTAAGTTTGTGGCATCCACGACGCTTCCTAGAGACTCCGCTCAGCGGTCATTGCTCGAGGCTGAGACCAGGGCGTCCGTGACCTGAGGTTTGGGGTTGATGGCTTACTTAAAGGATCATGGGACTTAGTAAGTGGGGCTCAAACTAAGGTAACTATACTTAGAAGTACTTATAACCCCATTTAAGGCAATTATAACCATAATTACTAAGTCCCATGATCCTCCAAGTATGGTATCTGGAAGCCACTAAGTTTCGAAAGAGGGTGCCCAGACCTTCCAAAATCGCTTAATGAAGGAACATACCTAAAATTAGAATAGGATCCCTAATATGAATTAAGGTCTATTCCTTAATTAAGGGATTTTGGAAGGTCTGGGTGAAGAGGGTGCTCGGAAGGAGACAGGTCTGGCGCTCAGAGCATCCGAACAAGTTCTGGAAGAGCGGCGGCGACCACTTTCCTACCACTCCCGTTGGCGCCATGAGAGTGCATTATATTCGCGGGGCGGCAACAAGCTGCGTCCGCCGTGGCGATTCGGTGCAAGATGGACCCTGAAGCCACCAGTCGCAAAAGCCGAAACGACCGAGTAGAAGTTCGACGAAGTTGGAAGCAAGGAAAACTGTTTGCTTCCACCGGGCGAAGCGAGTTAGTTCTTTCTGCAGGGGGAACCATAGCGACTAAGGGGTGTGGGGGTGTGTAAGGTTTAGGGTACCAGCGCAATGCACAATACAACCACATGATTTCGGACTGTGCGTCAGCATGAGTTCCAACGATAGCATCATGAATCCTAAACCCGTAAGCCCGCAACATGGCCTGCAGTCTTGCACGCGGAAGACCGCATGAACCCCATGCCTAAATACTTAGTAAAAACCTGCATGATAAAAGTCGTGGGGCATCCCAGAACCGCTAGGGCCCTATTACACACCCTTGCAACCCTGAAAACCAAGCCCTAAGCCTCAAACCCTGCACCAAAAAGTGCCATCCTGTTGCCCGAAACCCCAAGCCCCAAGCACCTAAAACTCCGAAATCCAAAACCCTGATGCGTTCACGTGCAGAACCCTTCTAGAACAAGTCTTCCAATTCTATTCTAGAGCCTTCCAAGCATGACAGGACGCTTGTAGAAACTATATTATTACACCACCCTCAGAAGAACCTGATTTAAACACCCAAAGGGTTCTTTGTACTGTCATGGCGGATACTTCCCTAAGTCATAATAGCAATTCCTAATATGGAAACCCTACAGTCTACTACATGCGTATATAGGACCCTTTGGTACACCCAAAAGCAATACTTACCGAGGCGCCCCTCGGGCGAGGAGAGGCATCTCCGGCAGCTTGTCCGGATGAAAGGTCAGCAGCGCTTGACCTCAGAGACATGGGAGGCTCCGAAAATTAGGGGTACCTTTAAAGGGATCCTTTAAGGGTTCTTTAAAGGGATCTATAAGGATTCTATAAAGGGTTTAGGGTTTAGAGTTTCCGAAAATTAGGGTACCTTATCTTGGGGTCCTTATACTAAGGATCCTCCTAATGTAGGGCCATATATTAGGGCCCCTATTTTCAGAAACTCCCACATCGTAGAACCCCCGTATGGGAACCATACACTAGGATGCCCAGTAACCTAGGAATAAAAAGGGCTTCCTTTTTTTGGTATTGGGCTCAAGGAAACCCTGAAACGAGCCAGTAAAGGACATCAAAGGAATCGCTAAAGGAACCCTAGAGGAACCCCCAATTTTAAAGGAACCCTGACAGGAATCATCACCGACCTCCGAAGCGACCGGTGGACCGAATTATCATCTGAGTTTTGGTGTAGGGGTTGAGATGTGCGTCTTGGCGGTACGGGTTCTACACCGTAAGCCCAAAACCCCTAAACCCCAACCCTTCAGAGATTGAGAACTTGGGCTTGGGGGATCCTAGGAGGCTTGCTCGACTTAGCCATTTTTGTATTTTTGGGATTCAAGGTTTACGGTTAAGGGTTTTAGGGACTAGAGTTTAGGGTTTAGGGGTTTGGGGGTTGGGTGTTCCGTGTGTAGCTAAGGGCTTTAGGCCTACACCTCAGTGCGGAATCCAGCCAGGCAGCATCACTCTATCGTGGTGTCCAACACCAAACTCGATCATGGGATCTGCATCACTGTCGTTCTGGAACTGAGTCACCATGTTTCTTTTGTTGCACGTTTGACGAGGAGCTTGCACGGAAGGTCATCGAAGAATGAGAACAGCAGATCGGATGCCATGCTAATTGTCCTTTCGCCCTCTTGCTCCCTGAATGCTCTGTTTCTTGTATGAAAATTTCCGCCGGACCCTTGACATGGTAATAGAATAGTTTCAATAGGAGCTTGGGGTTTGCTATAGTACACTTGTTAAATAGTTTGTAATCAGGAACCATTTGCGACAAAATTAGTAATTCTTTGGCTTCTATACTCATGCCACCCCATCTCAGCCGAGGTAACGTTCTTGAGCTAGTCAGCGGATTCTGCTCGCAAAATGAGTTTGCCTAAGCAGTCGGTGGGCAGTGGTAGCAAACTGAGGTTGGCGCGGAAGGCAGCTTTCGCGCTTGCCGGGTCCACGAGATCAGCGAGGGCCCTGTGAGTGGTTGAGGGTGAAGGTTGAGCAATCAAGGATGTGGAATCTACCTGGTCCTACAAAGGATCAATGGCGTTGTTTATGGGTGTTGGTGTATTAGTTTTGGGGTTCGGGTAGGGTTTCGGGTTTCGGGTTTAGGGTTTGTGAATCAAGGCTTGAGGTTTTAAGGTCTAAACCCGAATGCCCCAACCCGTAGACCCTCATTTTTCTGCAGTTGGGGAAATTCGGGTTGCAGTGCTATTGGGGTGTCGTGGATCTGGGTACATGGGATTTCGAGCGTTTGACAGACCGGAGCTGAAGTGTGAATACATCGCTGTCACCGTTGTGTTTCACCCTAAATGCTATGGATTCCTTATGTTACGGCTGGAGAGTTCCGTGAGGTGTTGGGGTTCAGGGTCTGACGTTCCGGGCTTACCAAACTCCTGTAACCCTGTGTCCCGCTGCATCCCTTTACTAACAAGGATACCCTGTTCCGACTCAGCTCCGACTAGCTATTCAGTTCTATGAAGAGTTTAGGGTTTAGGGCTTTTAGAGTGTTGCAACATGAACAGGTCATAGCCACAGGGCGCTACGGGGGGACGGCTCGACTTCGTCGGTCGTGGGCCTGTCAGCCCCCGCAGCCGCTAGCGGCGTCATGGGCTCTGGAATCCTGCTTCCCAGAACTTCCAAAATCCCTTAGCAAAGGAATATACCGTAATTCATATTAGGTGTCCTATTATAATTTAAGGTATAATCCTTAATTAAGGGATTTTGGAAGGTCTGGGTTGGCGTCCGAGAGCGGCCCAATGCCCTCGTCGAGGGGTCTGACTCGTAATCCTCCCAGAGACTCCAATATCCCTTAATTAAGGAATATACCTTAAATTATAGCAGGAGCCCTTATCTGATTTAAGGTATACTCCTTAATTACTTAAAAGGATCATGGGACTTAGTACCTGGGGTTATAATTAGGGTAACTATACTTATAATTACTTATAACCCCAATTAAGGTACTTATAAGCTTACTTACTAAGTCCCATGATCCTCCAAGTAGGGGATATTGGAGTCCCTGGGCTCCTTTGGCCAGGAAGGGCTCCCCATCATCGGAGCCGCCATCTTCGTACCCAGACCTTCCAAAATCCCGTAATTAAGGAATATACCTTAATTCATATTAGGGGTCCTATTATATTTTAAGGTATATTCCTTAATTAAGGGATTTTGGAAGGTCTGGGTATCTCCGATCTCCCATCCTGACACCATCGATGTCGACTGAATAGGGTTTGGGATTTGGTTGTATGGACCAGCGACTTTCGATGCACCTGTAGCAGAATGTGTAGATAGGGGACCGTATATATGGGTTATGAGTTATGAATACTTATAGTTTCTGCTCGAATGTGCCAGCTGCTAGATATGAACAGCACCATGAGGCTCAATAACTCAAACAAGCCAGCGCCTGCATCTTCTTAGATTAGAACCATAGCACGACAACAACTTACTGTCAAAGCCTCTTATTAGAACTCTCTCCATTTTTGACAACACGACAAGAAACGATATGACATTCTTTGAACCCTGTACAAAACCCCATCCTACACCCTGAACCCTAAACCGTTACAGCACCCCTTACAAAATCCCTAAATGGAACCTAAGCCCAAAAGAGCCCTCCTTATAGAACACTTACAGGAGCCCTGCAAACCCTCACGGTAGTCCTCGGCTGCCAAAGATCAGGTGCTAGGTCGCTCAGCTCGTGCAGCGACGCCAGGAGGGCGCGGAGGTTTTTGCCTCAAGGCTCTTGGGCCCAGGGTTTAGGCCCAGACCTCCCAAAATCCCTTAATTAAGGTTTAAGGAATATACCTTATATTATAAAAGGATCCCTAATATGAATTAAGGTATATTGCTTAATTAAAGGATTTTGGAAGGTCTGGGGAGCTTGAGTTTAGGCCTCAGAGTCGCTTTGGGTCTTTTTGTTTGGAATACAGCTGTGTGGGTTTGGGGGGGAGGGGGGGGGGCTGGGAAACTCACTTTGAAGCTCTGTTGGGTTCCTTGGCTTAGGGTGTGGGGCTTGGGATTCCTTGGCCTCACCCGAGAAACCATACCTATTAAGTTGTTTTGGTTTAGGGTGGTAACTTGCATGGAGGATCAGGGGACTTAGTAAGTAAGGTTATAAATTAGGTAACTATGCTTATAATTACTTATAACCCCCAAGTAAGGTACTTATAACCTTACTTACTAAGTCCCATACCCTTTAAGTAGGGTTCAGGCCATAGAGTGGTTTCGCCTCTAGGAGTTTTGGGTTGTGATTCTGGGCTTAAGCCCAAAGCCCCACACTCCTCGAAGGTTTGCAAAGTAGGCCGTCCATCCGAAACCCCCGAACCCCACGATGATAAGCCGTGATTTCAGGTGTCTGTTCGTGGGGCTTTGGAGCTTCTCGGGCTTCCCTCCGCACCTCACAGATTGTCATAGGGATCCTTAGGGGTGGGTTCCTTTAAGGGGGTCCAAAAAGGGATCTATAGGGGTTCCTTAAAGGGATCTATAGGGTTTAGGGTTTAGGGGTTACTTGGAGGCCCTTTTGACTTAGTAAGTAGGGTTAGTAAGGTGGGCTATGGGGATTATAATGGGGTTTCTAGGGGATACTAAGTAGACTTACTAAGTCAAAAGGGCCTCCAAGTATAGGGGCTTGGGCTACCCTCAAAGAGTTTTTATCAGCCGTACTATAGGAGCATAAAGCCCAAAACCCTACACTCACTCTCACTCACTCACGCCAGAGGGAAGTTCCTGTGCTCAGCATGCAGAAGGCCGAAAAGCGGCCCTGCTGTAGGGACGCGGCCAAGGTAACTACGGAAAGCCTAAACCCTAAATCCTAAACCCTGCTAAACAACCCCAAGAACAGCGCAGCTGACAGCGACTCCCCGCAGCCTCGAAGGTCCCCAAACGATGGATCTCACGACAAGCTAGCCTTCATTGACCAATGTTGAGGGTTTACCTTAAGGTTAAGGTAGGGTTTAGGGATTGCTAAGATAGCCTTCTCGCTGCGTATTAGAGCTGTATAAGGTTTACGAGGAGCTTTAGAAAGTCGTGCATGAAACCTGTTAAAGCCCTGTTTAACGGATCGTCGTAAGGTGCCCTGAGCCCTTCACCCAAAACTGCCATAGACACCAAACGATCACTGAACTCCTCTAGATCTAAACCCTAAACGTTGTCAAAATTAGGGTCCCTTTTTGGGTCCTTAGTATAATACGGCACCTAATATTTAGGGTACCCCAAAAGGGACCATACTTTTGACAACTACCCATATGAAGCCGAAGCCCTGAAACCCTGAAACCCTGAGCCCTAAAACCCCAAAACCCTCGAGTCTCCACCCTACCTTAACCTAGGGTTTAGGGTTTAGGGGTTTAGGGTTTAGGGTTTAGGGTTTAGGGGTTTAGGGTTTAGGGTTTAAGCCCTACTTTTTTGTAGGTTCTTCTTAGAAACCCTAATATGGGATTTATAGGGACCCCAACAAAAAGTCGGTTTTGGTAGGTTAAGGTACTCACCCCAAACCCTAAAACCCTAAAACCCAAAGCCCTAAACCCTACACCCCTAAGTACTTGGAGGATCATGGGACTTAGTAAGTAGGGTTATAAGTGCCTTAATTGGGGATATAAGTACTTATAAGTATAGTTACCTTATTTATAACCCCACTTACTAAGTCCCATGATCCTTTAAGTAGACCCTGAACCCTAAACCCTATAGATTCCTGTAAGGAACCTCTATGGATCCCTTTAAGGAGCCCTTTAAAGGAACCCCACTTACTAAGTCCCAGGATCCCCTAAGTCTCGGCCTCTGCGCCACTCCTCCAGGCGCCCCTCGATCTCGCTCGGGTCCTGGAACCCCCGTTTAGGGTTTACCTGGACCCTAAGGAACCTGCCTTGGGTTCCTTTAAAGGGCTCCTTAAAGGGATCTATAGGGGTTCCTTAAAGGGTCTACTTAAAGGATCATGGGACTTAGTAAGCGGGGCTATAAATAAGGTAGCTATACTTATAATTATAGGGTATTGTTTTAGCTAGGTTAGGGTTGAGGGTTTACCTGGACCCTAAGGAACGTGAATTTTAAGGGTTCCCCAAAATGATTTCTTTATATAAATCCTTAGAAAGGTAGGTTGCTGGGGGTTAAGGTAGGGATAGGGAAAGCCAGGGTTTACGGTTTACGGTTTAGGATTTTGCATGCATTAGGGAAGCAGAAAGACTTTAGCAAGTAGGGCTTAGTGTTCAGGGTGTAGGGTATTGAGAACTCATGTTTTTATGACGGTCTTGAACATATTGTGTTAAACGGGTGTATAGTGGTTCAACAGCTTGGCTTGCGTTGTAACAAAGGCTTAACGTTGAGGGCCCTCTAGGGCTCTCTAAGAGGGTCTTCCCAGTGAGTCCAACAACCCTTAATTGAGGAATATACCTTGAATCAGTAGGGGCTCCACCCATATGTCTTGATTAAGGGGCATTAGGTTCTCTGGGTGTTTATCTGGTATCCTGTTCCGCTCCGGGGCAACTTAGGGCCTGCCTACCTTAGCCCCAGAAAAGTTAGCCTTCTCAACTATGGTAGGATTCTATCCTTTTTGGGGGTCTTGAAGATAATACGACACCTAATATTCAGGGTACCTAGAAACGAGCCATGACTTTGCCCACTACCCATATGAACCCCCAAAGGCTAAAGGTTACCTACTCGGCGACTGAGATGATAGCACGCCAGTAGTAGGGCCCCAAAAAACGCACAAGCAAAAACAAGGATAGGGATATCCCATATAATCCCCCTTATTATGATGAAGCCCAATAAGGTAGGGATATCACTATAAAACGCTTATGCTTATGTGCTTTTTGGGTCCCTAAGACTTTCCGCATCCCCGAAGAGGGGGCTCGCGGAGGCTTGGGGCTCTCGGTTTGCATCCAGGGCTTTGGGCATAGGCAGAAGGGTTTAGGGTTTAGAGTCTGGAGGGTTTGACTACAAAGTTCGGGCTGTGCATGGTCGACGAAGTTGCTGCACTTTCTGCTGGAAAGTTGAAACGAAAATTGGAACTAAACCTTGAACGTTAGAACTTGAGCCACTAAACCCGAGGATCCGTAGAGTCTAACCCTGAAACACTAAACCTACAAGTTTAAACTTAAACCTTCCACCCCCAGCCTTAAACCCTAAACGCCTAAACCCTAACCCCTAATCCCTAAACCCTAAACCCTGAACCCTCAACCTAAACCCTGAATCCCTGAATCCCGAAACCCGAACACCGAATACCTACCCTAAAGGATTTACCCCTGGACTTTCAGGGTTTTCTGCGCCTCTTCTGCTGGCTGCTGAGGCGGCGGCGAGCAAACGGCGGGCGGCGTTTCCTGTCGATCGGTTTAGGGGTCATCAGGGTTTAGGGTTTACGACAGGTTTTCCAAGGGCTTCACGTGGGAGCTGCCGAAAATGTGGGACCGTAATCTACTACCCTAATAATCGTAGGATCCTTTGTCATAAGGACCCAACATAAGGTACCCCTAATTTTCGGAAACTCCCATCTTTAACTCTTATAGTAGCCCTTATAGTAACCCTTATAGTACCCTTATAGTAACCCTTCAAAGGAACTCTAAGGTACCCCTAATTTTCGGAAGCCTGGCTTTCATGAGGGCCTGAGAGTGTGGAGGGAATCGATCTGGTCTTACCGACTTCTGTAACTTAAAGGATTATGAAAGGGTATCCTTAAAGGGATCCTTATAGGGATCTATAGGGGTTCCTTAAAGGGATCTGTAGGGTTTAGGGTTTAGGGTCTACTTAAAGGATCATGGGACTTAGTAAGGTTAGGGTTCCTTTAAAGGGCTCCTTAAAGGGATCTATAGAAGTTCCTTAAGGGGATCTATAGGGTTGAGGGTTTAGGGTCTACTTGGAGGATCATAGTAAGTAGGTCCCATGATCCTCCAAGTAGACCCTAAACCCTAAACCCTATAGATCCCATTTAAGGAACCGCTATAGATCCCTTGAAGGAGCCCTTTACTTTTCCAATTTTTCTCAAAACAATTCGGACCTGGGGTTCAGGGTTCTTAGAGGGCCTACTTGGAGGGTCGGGGGACTTAATAAGTAGGTAGGAAGTAGACTTATAAGTACCCTAAAAGGGACCCTAATTGGGGTAATGTACTTATAAGTCCCTAAAATAACTAGTTACTAAATCCCCCGACCCTCCAAGTAGGGTGCTTCAGGGGTTTATCGCTTAGGGTTCTTTCGGGGTTTAGGGTTTAGGGTTCTTTAGGGGTTTAGGGTTTAGGGTTTAGGGTTGAGGGAGCTTGTGGTTTAGGCACAAGGTTTTTAGGGTTTGGGCTTAATGTGATGAATTTCGGGGTGTTTAGGGTTGAAACTGACTGGGGTTTAGGGTTTCGGGCTGTAGGGCTTCATAAAGGGTCTACGGCTGATGGCTTTAGGTTGGGTACTGCCTCCACTCGGTAACATAAATACTATTCAAACAATATCGATATGTTAGGACCTTAATAGTAGCCCTATTCTGGACTGTTACTGTACGGGTGGGCAGTACCCAGGCTTTACGGTGTGAGGTCTTCGGCTGTAGAGTTTAGGAATCTACAACTCGACGTGTTAGGAGATCACCCTAATATCCCAATGCCTCCCGCACCTCAAGAGTAATAACGTTTATCGGGGATTAAAAATTTTTAACGATACTAGAAAACAGCCCCGGCCTTGCAACTGTAAATGCTGCTGAAGTTTGTCAAAACCCCTCTAAAAAATCAAAGGTGGGATGAAGGTAGGTTGGATGAACTCAGGTAAGAGTCCTTATATAGCGGATCCTCAAGCTGACCTGCCTTGATCCCAGCCTGAAGTCCTTGATTTGGTATACACCTGATGCAGACGCCTCGGGGTTTATAGGTCCTAACGCGGCCCGATTGTAGACCCCAAACCTATGCAAACGTGGGCGCACATCCTAACTTGCGTCTAGACAACCTCTTCATGGGATCTCTGTGGAGATGTCTTGGAAGAAATCCTGTACAAGGCAAGTATGTCGCAGTCAAGAAAACTCTAATTAATTGACCACAAATTCGGAACCAGGCCCTAAAGACCAAAACTGGAGGACAGAAAACAAAACCACATCTTGCAGGACATAGGATGCAACGAAAGTAGGCCTGCAACGAAGAGGTTCGAAACATCCAGAAACCAGACTAGGATACCCAGTAACCTAAGAATAAAAAGGCCTCTCCTTTTGGTATTTGGCAACTTTATAAGGAACCTAGGACTACAAAAAGGGAATAAGGGTACTACTGGGCATCCTAGAACCCGACCTGAAGCACCGAAGCCGAAAGGCCCGAACCTGAATCCGAAATTCTTCCACTAGAAACCCAAACAACTGCAGCCTTAAGCCCAACCTGGACCCTAAGGAACCTACCTTTTTAGGGTTCCTTAATATGATTTCTTTATATAAGTCCTTAAAAAGGTAGGTTACTTGGGCTTAAGGAAGGCCTTAAAGCATTTCAAAACCCGGAATTCTGAACAACCGAAAAGTCCTCTCGTGTCTCGTCGGCCGGAGGAAGTACGTCTGCCTGCTTCGGCGGTGCCGACTCTGCTAGCCTCAATATGGGAAAGCATGTGGATCTTCGGATTTGGGGTGTAGGGCTCGTGGTGAAACTTTGGCTTTGGGAACTATACAGAGTTTAAGGGCTTCAGGGTGTCGGGAGAGGCGCTTTAGATTTCGCAGCTGGGATTTAGGGCTGCAGGGTCTTAGGTTTTGGGGTATCGGGCGTATGACTGCAGGAGGTATTGATTCTGGATGTTTCTGGTTCAGGGTCTAGGGTTCAAGGTTGAGGCTTGAGGGCGTAAACGGTTTGCTTTCGATTGGGTATCTCCTGCGCCTGGCCGGGCACTGCCGCAGGGGCGTGCGCCGGTCCGTTCCTCGGTGGCTGGGCATCCAGGAGCGCCGCAGGTGTCGCTGGTGATGCCAACGCGATCGCCGGCCGGCGGCTGCCAGGGCCTGTGCCGGCACGGCGGCCGCCACCGCCAAGGGTGCCTGCTGCACGTAGCGTTCCATCGCCGTGGAGGCCCAACGGCCCCGGAGCTGAATGACCGCGACGGGCACGCCTCTCATCACCAAGAACGTGGCCCCTGCCACTGTCGCTGCGTGCCCGCCGAACACACCAGTCTGCGCTTCTACTGGTCGTCGGTGTAGATGGTGTCAAAGCCCGCGGCGTCCAGGACCATGCGGAACATTTCCGCCGAGATTGTTAGCAGCGTTCAGGATGTCAACCGTGGGATGTATGGTTTCTGATTCAGCATTCAATGTAGGAGCTTCAAGGATGGTTGATGGAGCGTGCCTTACGAGAAAGGATCAGGCGTGGTCTGCTATACCGCTGTAGTCATGAGAATTGAGGGCTCAGGACGTATTCAACGTGTAAGCTTCAGGGGTCACAGTCTAGGATTCACAGGAGGCACTAGCATGTAGGGTTGACTGTCTAGGATTCAGGGTTTAGGATGGTTTAGGACTGTTGTAGACTTTGAGCTCGAACAATTTGAAACTGAGGTCAAGGATGACTTGATGCTGGGGTTCCATTTCATGTTACCCAACCCGGGAAGCATGCAGAATAGTGGCCAAACACCAATAGAGAGGCTATCATGTCACATCTTGGGGTAAAGGTAAGTTGCTTTCAGAGCATGGGGATGATGATGTTCGAACTCGGTAAGCCTGTCGAGCCTGAAATCCGAACCCAAACGGTCCAAGTAGTCAAACAGCAGGGTCCCACAGACCAAAAATAATTCGGAGTATGGAATTGTGGACCTAAAACCTTACTATTGGGGCATTTGGACCGTACCTAGAGGCTCATACCCTCGACTTTGTTTAAGGTACCTGCTTTTTAAGATAGCAGATCCTAACCATGAAACTAGATATCCTAGAACTAGGTGTAGGGTATGAGCCTCCGGGCATGGGTAAATCGATCACCTCCTTGCGGGGGGTTCACGTCTCCATCAGCCCTAAACCGTGCTCGGTATCTCCTACACCCGTAAACCCTAAACCCTCAACCCCTCCATACCTGAACCCTAAACCCTAAGTTCCTAAACCCCAAATTCTAAACCCTAAATCGTGGCCTCATATCCGACTCCTGAGGCCCTCACCCACCCAGCAAATCTTCATCACCTGTGGCCGTGGAGGTGTTTGTGTCTTAAGGATGTGGGTTTCGGCTGATAATAAGGCTTCGGCCTCAAACCCTAAACCCCAAGTTTAGGCTTAGTGGTTAGGTTAGGGTGTCGGGCTGTAGGGTTGAGGGCTCGTGGCTGGTGCCTTTGAGGTATTGTTGGCTGGAGCTTAGGATTCTGGATCTGGGTTTCGGGTGAAGGGCTTCAGTATCCAGGGATATTGTGGTCTTTTTAAAGTAAACCTCATAAAGGTGGAAACCAGAGTAAGGCCAAATAGTGCTGGGATTCCCCATACATTACTCTTACGGATTGAGGCCACTGGGTTTCTAACTTTTTGGCTTCTACTGTAATCTAAAGCACCCTTTTCCACCTGCCCTTGCCGTCCGAAGGGATATTGGGGTTTCGGGTTCTGGGTTCTGGGTTCGTGCTGCGCGCTTCGGGTTTCGGGTTCAGGGTTTTAGGTGCAGGTGCTTGGAGGATCGTGGGACTTAGTAAGGTTATCAGCGCCTTAATTGGGGCTATAAGTACTTATAACTATAGCTACCTTATTTATAACACCACTTTCTAAGTCCCATGATCCTTTAAGTAGCTCAGGATGTCGGCGTACTCGACAACCAAAGCACATCAATGGCAAGTCACAGGGCTAATGCTACGGATTCAGGAATAAGGCCCAAACCTCAAACCCCAAAACACCAAGACCGATACCCCTAAACCTAACGGACCTATGTTCAAACACTGGCTGAACCCTACGAAAATTGAATTTCCAGCTACAGCTCGAACAGGAAACCATTAGGTGATGGCAGCCTTCGCTACCATTCCGTGCGAATCTGAAAGAAGCCAACACAGGCGAATATAGCGGATTAGGGTGTACGGTGTAAGGGCCGAGGTACTTCGACCACTACAAAACCCTTGCAGGAGCTCTTGTGCAGGAGTGCGTAGACCCTGGCCTAACGATCTCGCCCCCATCTCAGTGCTTCTCCCGATCTGCCCTCGCACCGTACTGGAAGGGAAGATCGCATCGTCGATTGTAGTCTCTCTCTCTTTGTTGCATCTGAGTTGTTGCAAAGGAGGTATCAATGGCCTGGTGTCGGGCCACTGCTGTAGATCCAAGGACTCATGCCTGCCTTGCATCTGTCGCATCGGCCCCTAAACCCTAAACCCTAAACCCTAAAAATTGAGATCGCGAACACCAGTTGGCGCAGCATTCTCAGCGGCAGCCTACAGGTCTTGCGATTACAAAAGCAGGCGTGAAAGGCGATAGGGGCTTAGGGTTTAGGGCTTAGGGTTTAGGGCTTAGGGTTTAGGGCTTAGGGTTTAGGGTTTACATAGCAAAGCTTTACCCAGAGGCTCCATAGTAGTTCCTTTTTGGGATTACCTTATAGGATTCTATATATGAAACCCAAAAAGGAACTACTTTGTAGCCTTCGGGTAGTGCTGCTGGCTGATCCGAAAGTCTTCGGGCTTAACGCCTTTGGGTTTTCTGGGTTCAGGCTTTTGGGGTGGGATCTAGGATGTAGGGTGTAGGGACCCTAAATTCGGCTGTGGTTGAAAGGCATCGTAGCAAGCGGCAAGCTGCATCCCAGCCCCGGCAACTCCGTGTCTAAGATTCGGGGTTTATGGCTTTTGAGAAATGCCCAGGTCCTATAACATGAACCCTCAACAAAACACCTACGAGCGCGTTTTCAGAGATAAAGGCCCCCTGAAATTCACCCTATTCCCTAAACCCTCAACCCCCTAAACCCTAAGCCCTAAACCCTCAACCCCTAAACCCTGAACCCTAAACCCTAAACCCTCAACCCCTAAACCCGTCTCTCCCCTAAACCTCCCGAGCCTGGCAGCTCAGGAGCCGATAGGTCGATGAGATCTCCCTCTGGAGCCGTCGGGCTCGGGCTCTGCCCCTGACGCGCTTCAGGAACGGCTTACGTAAAGCTTCCCTGATACCAAACCCTTACCCTAAGGCTCCAAAGTAGTTCCTTTTTGGGGTTCATATTCAGAATCCTATAAGGTAATCCCAAAAAAGGATCTACTATGGAGCCTCTGGGTAACCCTAAACTGTACAGCGTTGTGCACCGGGGATCCTGGATCGCCGCGCCTCCAAAAGCCTACCTAGGATACCCAGTAACCTAAGAATAAAAAGGCCTCTCTTTTTGGTATTGGGTAACTTTATAGGGAACCTAGGACTACAAAAAGGGAATAAGGCTACTACTGGGCATCCTAGTTGTGTTCAAGGGTGTTTAAGTATCGGGCCTCTGCTTTCACACGCGCCTTTGAACTCACTCGCTCTCATGCTGCAGGATTTTAAGGGTTTAGGGGTTAGGGGTTGGGGGTTTAGGCGGTTTCGGGATTTAGGATTTAGGCTTTTAGGGGTTTCGGGTGTTGGTTCTTCCTTTGCGAAACTCCAGCAACTTCTGATGCGGCTTTGACCACGTCGGCGACTGAAAGGATGCCAGGCTTTTCAGCGCACTAGTACGCTCTTCCTCGTCCTCCGGTTGATGATATAAATCCTGCATGACCCATAATAAGGAATATACCATAATTCGCATATATTCCTTATTATGGGTAATGCAGGATTTATATCATCAACCGTCCCAGTCGTCGTCATCAGCTCCTTCCTGGCTTTTTCGCGGGCTGCTGCTGCGCGAGCTGCTGCTCTCTTCGCCGCTCTATCCAATTCGAGCCTGCTGCAAGAGATACCGCCATGTTTTGATGCCCTTTGCAGCACCATGGGGCTCCTCATGTTAATCCCCAGCAGCCTGGACCACCATTTTTTGTTGGTTGTTTCAATTCCCTACGGGTCCATGTACCCATATAGCATATACCTTGGGCCCAATGTACCTACATAGGGAGTACTTTAAGGCCAAGGTATATACTATATGACTACATGAACCCTAAACCCTAAACCGCGGGCATTTGACTGTGGAGAGCCTGAGCCATGTGGAGTTGAGGGTGCAGGATGCTGCACGTCACTGAGATCGCACGTTTAGGGTTTAGGGTTTAGGGTTTCTGAACCTTCCACCATTCATTCCAAACTTTCTGAATCTCACTGAATAAGCCCGAATGTTATACTGTAGGCTTAGGACCCAAGCACTGCACGCATGTATATCTATTGTACACCCTACAAAACCCTAGAGACAAAACCAACCCCCTCAAAACCTAAGATCCCTGAACCGTGAACCCTCAAATGCAGGAACCCCAAACCAGAAAAGCCAGAGTCGCTAAAACCTAAGCCTTAAAACCTAAGCCTGAAGCCGTAAAGCCTACAACACGAGCCCTTAAACACTGACAGTTGGCTATTGAAGTAACCACAAAGAAACAAAGCATAGACTTTCATCTCATACTGCCTCATCGACCTCGACGCTCACTGCCGGCGCAGTCGCTCCCTCTGCCTCTGGGCTGTTCCCCTAAACCCTAAACCCTAAACCCTAAACCCTAAACAAACCCTAAACCCTAAACCCTAAACCCTAAACCCTAAATGGTTCAGGGCCTTTGGGGGCTTGGGTTTCATGAGGTTTTGCTTTGGAGCCGCCAGGCTCCAGGGCTTTCAAACCCTAGACCCTATATCTTAAACTCTAAGCCCTTAAACCCTTAAGCCCTTAAACCGCTAAACCCGTAGCCCAAAGTCCTAAATCAGAGACCCTTGACACCCCGTCTTATGGAGTTTGGGTGTTGGGGGCGCTTAAGGCCCCATGGTTCATAGGGTTTCAAGGGCTTCCAGAGCTTGCGGACTGTAGGTCCAAGGTTTGGTAAGCTCTGTCCGTTGTAGGGCGTTTGGGTAGTTTCGGGTTTTGGGCTTGTAAGGTTAAGGGTTTTCGGGTTCAGGGTTTGTGGTTTTGTATTCAAGAGCTGCAGTGTGTGTTTGGTATTCAAACATTCATGCCGTGTAAACATGAACGCTATCCTTAAGGGTCCATGTACTCATATAGTATATACATTGGCCTTCATGTAGTCCCTATATAG